ATAGGAGATAGGAGATAGGAGATAGGAGATAGGAGATAGGAGATAGGAGATAGGAGATAGGAGATAGGAGATAGGAGATAGGAGATAGGAGATAGGAGATAGGAGATAGGAGATAGGAGATAGGAGATAGGAGATAGGAGATAGGAGATAGGAGATAGGAGATAGGAGATAGGAGATAGGAGATAGGAGATAGGAGATAGGAGATAGGAGATAGGAGATAGGAGATAGAGATAGGAGATAGGAGATAGGAGATAGGAGATAGGAGATAGGAGATAGGAGATAGGAGATAGGAGATAGGAGATAGGAGATAGGAAATAGGAGATAGGAGATAGGAGATAGGAGATAGGAGATAGGAGATAGGAGATAGGAGATAGGAGATAGGAGATAGGAGATAGGAGATAGGAGATAGGAGATAGGAGATAGGAGATAGGAGATAGGAGATAGGAGATAGGAGATAGGAGATAGGAGATAGGAGATAGGAGATAGGAGATAGGAGATAGGAGATAGGAGATAGGAGATAGGAGATACATTCAATATAAAATGTAATTCAGCTCAGCCATGCGGTAAATTGAGAATCAAAATTTATTGAACTGTTGTTGGACTTGTGGATTACGTTGTTGTTGCTGCTTTGATTCTTGTTTTTTGGTTGCGGCTTAATGCACTTTTTCGATCAACACCAGCTGCAAATGCAAATGCGTGTGAGCTGAATCGTTCTGAATCCGGTTTCGTGGGGAGAGGGGCGGGCTTGGTGTGGTAGAGGTGCAGTAAAATTCTGTTGATGATCAAATTCGTTGAAAGCGCTCGAATGTCGCTGGCAAAATGTCAATTAAAATTTTGCACAAATTGAGAGAGTGTGCATGCGTGTGAGCGTGTGTGTGTGTGTGCGTGTTTGCCTGTGTGAGTTGGTGTGTATATGTGAGTTAATTTGATTTTAATTATGTAACACTGGCTGAGGCTGAACTCCTGGCTGCCGTTGTTATTGTTTCGGTTTGTTTCGTTTGCGGTTAATCAGCTGCCCGTGGCATTAATATTTTGATTGCCACATGCCGCAGCAGCAAATGCAGCAGAAGCCAACTAAGTGTTGCAGGCAGCCACAGAAATTGACAATTAAAAATAATTTGAAATGCAGACGCCAAAACGTGCAGCGACAATAAAACGAGCGCATTTCATTAAAATTTCAAGTCAACCCAACTGTGCCACACACACACACACACAGGCTGACAGCCACGCCCAGTCGCCCACCACACATAGCGAATGCGAATATGAAAGCGACAGCAATTTAAAATTAGTAAAAGTTAAAGCACAGCAACAAATAGTAGGACGAGGGGTGGCAGCTTCATTGGAGCAGGGGTGAGAGAGGAGCGGAAGAGGAGTTGCCTCGAGGGGCAAAGGGTTGAGTGTGTGCCAGGCTAGCTGAGGTTTGGCTAAATGGGAGCAACACGAGCTGGCCTGCAATTAAAAGCAAGCAAGTTTTTGTCCGCGTAAAGCTAATAGCAGGCCATATACCCTGTAAAAATTAACTGAAAACAACATATTTAGCCTTAAATTAGAATTAAATATTTCAATGTTCTTATTTAAATTAAATTAATTTTCAAATTAAGTTAAAATGAAAATTAAAATTAAATTTAAATTGAATTAAAATTGAATTTAAACTAAAATTAAAATTAAAATTAAAATTTAATTGAAATTATATTAAAATTAAATTTAAATTTAAATTTAAATTAAATTGAAATTAAATTTAAATTTAAATTTAAATTAAATTGGAATTAAATTTAAATAAAATTATAGCAACTCATAACTTCGCTCCCATCCTATTTCTTTTGCTTCTCATGCACCATAATTAGAGGGTATCTTCTCGGAGGAAACAGTTGAAGCGGCTGTTGAGCTGTTATTCCCGGGCATTGTCGCCTGTCTGTGAAACTCAAAACGTGCAACTAAACTGCAGCGTTTTACAGACAACTTGCCACACTGGCCGCACGGTCATGCCCCACTGGCTAAGCTCTACCCACTCCCAAACTGTGCTGCTGATGCTTCACACTCGCTGTTTATAGGCTACCAACACCCTTTGTCCTGCTCCACTCTCTCCCACTGTCTCCCTCTATGTTCGTGTTGGGCCCGCTTTATGGGCCTTAAAGCGTGCGGGCCAAGCCGCTTAAGTGGGCTGTTAAGGGCTTGTTAATTTTATTGATACCAACGCCCGATCGAATGTTGTCAGCCCCCGCACTGTAAGATAAGATGGCGTGGCACAGGAAGGGAACGGGACTCGGCTGGTTGGCAACAATTGGAGCAAGTGGTGCATTGGCACTCGACGTTGACATGCTCGACACATGTTGCGGCCAAGCAGAGCCCCCAAGGATGTGCACCAATTTATGTGTGTATGTCTGTGTGTGTGTGCATGTGTGTTTGTGTGCGCATGGCCTGCATTGGCAAGCAAGAACCACACCAGCTGACCTACTGAAGTCCAAGCCGAGCATAGCCCAAAAGTCAAAGGCAAAGTTGGCCACTGAGCAAATTGAGCTGAAAATTTCATCAAATTAAGATATGTTAACAACCAGACTGAGTGAGAGACAGAGAGAGATAGAAACAGAGAGTGACGGAAAGACAAGATGAAAATGAGGTCGAATGCTCAATTAACGAACAAGGCCACAGAAATAAGAAAATGCCATTAAAACAAATAAATTTACTCGAATATTTAATTAAAAATTGTTATTGTTATTGCTATGGTAATTGTTATTATTATTTCTGCAAATATAATATCTTGAAATCAACAATCAACTCCGGAATATTTGACAGCTCATCTCAGCGGAAATTTCTCAGAATTTGATCAATTTTCCATATGGAATCCAAATTACTTACCAATCTGCAAGGAAATCCACATTAAGAAGTAAATAAAATTGGTTTCTTAATATCTTGAATTTCAGTTTATTCATTATTCCAATCGCTGGTAGACCCTGGTATATATATATATATACATATATATAAGGCCGATTTATAGCTTAGTAGCCTTTAGTAGTTACCGTTTGATCTGTTCAGCTTTTACTGTTCCATGCTCTGAATTTGATCGAGTCAATCTTTTGGCTAACTGGGCTATATATATGTATATACACATATATATTGAGTATATATATATATATGTATTTTGGCATACCTTACACACACATACACATTCATATCAATTATCAATTTAATGCATAACTTAAGTTAAATAACAATCACATTTACTTATTCTGTTTTGTTTTTCTTCTCATTTTGCATTTTTCATTTACCATTTACGTTTTTCTCTTGTCTCTTTTCGACTTTTGTTTTGGTTTTTCCTTTTGGCTTTTTCATATTGAAAAAAAAAAGATTCTGGCACTTGCCTAAAGTGCAATTTCTATTTGGGATTATTTAAGTATATATCATATATCATTTAATCAGTTTTATATATTTTAATTATTTTAATTATCTTTAGATTTATTCTGTGCCTGCTCCGTAAAACCGCGAATTGTCAATAAAACAATTGAAAACAATCGAGAGATAACAAAAAACTTAAAAAACTTTCGTTCGTTCGTTTGTTCGTTTTTTTTTTTTTTTTGAACCGATCGGAACCGATCTATATAACTTGCTATATCCTTTGGGTATTGCATATATAATTCTCTACTTGTAAAAAAAAAAGAACACGTACCACTTGCAGTGCACGTATGTCTCTTAATTTCCTTTGATTTATTTATCATTTATCTTTTAGTTCTATAATATTTCTTCTTCTTCTTCTTCTGCTTTCCCATAATCTTGAGTTTTTACGTCTATTTGAGAGTTATTTTGTTTTGTTTTTGCTTGTATTGTATAATTCTTTACGTTGATTTCTTTATTTATTATTTTTTCGGAGTATTCAATTGTTTATCTTAGTTATACTTAGTACATCCATACATATATAGTTCATGCTTTGTTCTGAATTTGAAGTCCTCTGTTTTATTTTGTTTTTAGTTTTTTTTTTATTTTGTGATTTACCAATAAGAAAACTATTAGCTAGTCGCTAGTGGTTCAAAGATTACACAAGTTGCTCGCGTATCGTATTTGTATAAGTAAAGTTCTTATATATTGTATAAATTGTTATTGTAAATTGTGTGTTCTTGTCTTGTTCTATATAAATTTCGGCACATTTGATTACGTTTCACAAAGAAAATTGAAAATAAATGTCAATTAATATCGGAGTACGAGACTTGTAGATGCGCCCTGCAGGCATCTTCCCACCTGTTTGTGTCTATCTATGCCAAATGCATATTGATTCTAAGAAATATTTTTATTTAGGCCGTTGACACTTAGAAATGATAGCATACCGAATTTGAAAGTGCTGTTGCTGAGTTAACTGGGTCAGTGGCAAAAATAATTGGACTTATTAGCAGAGCTAGGATTGAGCTAAATTCCCATACCCAAATTCAAAACTGTCTTGCTTCTAGAATATATTTGGATAAAATATCGAATTGCCACAGCTAACAGCAAAATCAGCTCGCACACCAAACCCGACAGCTCCATATCTTACAACAGCAGAGTTCACTTGGCTATTTGCCCCGATAATAGGATGCGCAATCAATAAATAGCTGAACAATTTGTGTGCAAACAATTAAAATGTATTATTTATGCATTCTCTAATTGTGTTTCGGGTATTTTGTATGCCATTGTTTTTTGGGGCAGGGGGCGGCGTGGGGTAGAGGGGCAGATGGGACCGTGGAGAGAGGCTTTTATATTATTTGGTTTCGGTATTTGGCTTATTTGTTAGTTATTTGTAGATAGACATTGAAATAGCTGTAGCCGCAAATAGACAAACAATTAATTATGTTTTATTTGTAATATTAATCGCATTTGAATTGTTCTTAAATATTATTTTCGCTTTTTCTTATATTTTTCGTTTTCGTCTTCGTTTTTCATTTTGTTTTCTTTTTATCAATATTTGAAAAATCAACAAACAGTTAAGTGGAAAAATTGAAATTCATTTAGCATTTTTTTTATATTTAGTATTTTTCATTTCAGTTTTGTTTGGTTTTTTTTTTCGATTATTTTATGTTGCCTAACGCTTAGTCTAGCCTAAACTTTTGACACACCCACATACACACATGTGTGTGTAGTGTTTGTGTGCGGGTGGGGCCACGCACCCACCGCTTGCAAAAAAAAAAACAACACCAGTTTGATCGAATTTCTAAATAGCTTAGATATTAGTATATATTGAGTACTCTTGCATATCATACCTTTTCAACTGCTTACAGCTGCTTCCTCTTCTGCCTTACTTGCTGACTGCTTGTTCTTCTTAACTACCGTTCACATCAACGGCCATGGGCTGGGGCACCGCATGTATGCCATTGGCGAGGCTGCCCGCGCACAATGTCGAGCCGCTCGGCGAGGCGGGCGGCGAAGCGGGCGGCGTCAATGTGGATGGCTGCTCCTGCCCATTGCCGGCTCCATTGGCTGCAGCGCTGTTTGGTAGTGCGCAAATTTTGCCATTGGCTAGCTTCAGTTGTTGCTCGACCAGCTGCTGCTGCTCCTGTTCTTTAGTGACTTGCTGCTGCAGCTGCTCTAGCTCGATATCGTTTTGCTTTTCCTTCTCGTTCTCCTCCTCTTCGTCCTCCTTTTCCTTCTCCTTCTCCTTCTCCTTTTCCTCCTCCTCCTGCTGCTTTTCATTCTCCTCGCTATGCTGGGGTCCATTTCCATTTGCTGTCTCGTTGAGCGGTGGCGGTGGTGGCGGCAATGAATCCAATTGAGTCGACTCCATCAGCGTAAAATCGTTGAGCTCTTTAATCTCCTCGGTTGAAGGCGGCGCCGGCAGGCTCATCAAGCTGTCATAGCTATTCTCTGCTTCCTCCTTCATCTGCGGCTCCTTAGCCTCCTCGACATTCACAGTCACCTGCTCAGCTGCTGTTTCGTTTACATTTCCAAAGGCGGCTGGTGCTGGCACCGGCTCCTGCTCCTGCTCCTCCTGCTCCTGCTCCTCCTGTTCCTGTTCCTTCTTTGGCTCCTGCTGGTCTTTCTGCTCCTGTTTCTCCTGCTGCTCAACAATTCGTTCCGGCTGCACTTGCGGTACATTGTCAGTTCCAAGTTCTAGCTGTGAGCTAAGCACCACAGGCAAGCTGCTGGCATAGCCAGGCTGTTCGATGACATAGAGCTCCTGGTTGCCATAGGAGTAGCGTTTGTTCGAGTCGCTCGAGGAGGTGGAGCTTAAGTCAGACTGGGAGAGACCGGTTTGGGACTGTATGGGCTGTTCGCGGTCAATATCGTGATCCTCATCTGGCACCAGCTGCTCCTCTTCGATGAGCTGCAAGCCGACAGCTGCTCCAACTCCAACTGCAGCTGGCTGATTGGCAAAATCACTGGGCGGTGCATGGATCTGGACCTGTTCATGGCTGGGTGGCAGGCTGCGCTCCTCGAGCGTTGACAGCTTGTTGCTAGTGTCGAAGGGCAGCTCAGTGATGTCTATGCCAGCGGCGGGGCTGTCCGGCGGCTGTTTCGAGTCAATGCCGCGTGCTACCTCCACCACAAAGACCCCATCCTTGTCCGTGTGCATCTTCGTCTCGCGGGCGTTGCGCGAAATGTCCTGGATTTCGGCAAAAAGAGACAGAGAGAAAACAGCGACAAATCAGCTACGGAGCGCCAACAGTTGGACAACACTTGCAACGGATACAGACACAGTGTGAGTGAGCAAGGCAAAAGGGAAGAGTAGAAGTGTTGGAGCTGAAGATGGAAGGAGTGCTAAATGCTTGACAGCAGTGGCCAGGAGACAAATCGAGTGGCTGCCAAGCGGAAAGTGCCGAAAATTGCATTTGCATATGCTTTGCCCCATAACAAATTTACACCTTATACAGAACAAGAGAGAGAGAGAGACAGTGAGAGAGTGAGAGAGACACAAGGTGTATGAGAGAGTAAGTGTAGAGAGAGAGAGAGAGACAGTGCACAGGTGTGACCGAGCTGGGCTGCTTGACAAATAACTAGCACTCGACTGCTGCCAGAGTGTGGCAAAGAAGCCCAAAGGACGACAAGTCAACAACTTGGAAGTAACTGTAAAAGCCTGTTCGACTAGTGGTTACCCTGTACAAACGATAAGTGTTTATCAAATTGTGTTAAAGGAAACTTTTATTTCAAATTTGATATTCTGATTATGAGCCTGTGTCAAAAATACCCTGTAAAAAGCTGAGATATATAGCAATGTCGGCATCATAATAATCTTGTATCTTACAAGTAAACTCTATGAATTAAAGCTGAAAAAGATAGCTCGGCTCTTCACATACATTTTATTTCCTCTTCAAAACACCTCTCAGCCGATTTTCATTGGCATACAAACCAAACAGGAGTGGGAGGCACAGGGACAGGTTCGTATAAAACGATGCCAGCCAAAGGAACTCCCAGCAGATGTACCTGCTGCACTTGCGCAGGATCGATCACAGTCAAGTCGGAAGGGCGCAGGGGAGGGAGGGTATGGGGCGGACATGAAGAGTTTAAGTTTTTATGTTGAAGAGGGGTAAACATACGCTTAGCTCACTTGCTAATGCTATAGACAGAGCTGTCTGATTGATGCCCAGTTTCTGGTCTAGTCAAAGATTGATTGATGAGACAAGAACTAGATCTAGGTTAGCCTGATAATCAGCCAAAGATGTTAGGCTGCTCATGCATCAAGTGACAGGGATGAAGACGGAACACATATGGAATGCAGCTGTCTCTGGCGCACTCCACAACGACAAAGATACAGCTAAGAGATTTACGGGAACAGAGGAAGGGACAGCTATAGAACTAAGCGAAAGAGACAGCTATATATGCAAAAAGTACTCAAGAGCTAAAGAGACGGACAACTATATCTAGTTACCAGCTAAAGTACAACATTAAGAGACGTTCAGGCAGGCAATATCAACAATACAACATCAACATCAACAACAACAACAACATCAACAACAACATCAACCAATCAATCAGTCAATCAATCGAGCATTCAATACTACGACAAAGACGCAGTTTAAGACACACAGAAAGAAGAGAGACAGAGACAACAAAGATATTCAAATAGTAGATGCAGTTCTGGAGATGCACACAAAATCCATAGAAAGAGTTTCATTTCTGTTCCGGAACTATAGCAATGCGTTCCACTAGTTCATGTGAGCTGTATTAATCTACGGAAAGTTAACAACGAAAGTTTTGAGCGATTTCAAACTATGTTTCTAATAACTAGTATATAGCAATGAAGTAGTTTGGTAAAAAGTTACGTCATATATTCAAATGCCTACAAAATGTAAAAGTGAACTAGTTCAAGACACTAAAGTCAAAGTAAATTTGTAAGCTTCTACTTTACATTCAAATGTTACGAAAATCATAATTTAAAAAGAACGTTCATTTGAACTAGTCTAGTGAACTAGTTCAAATTCATAAGAAGTGTTTCAGCTTTTTTATCGATTAATATTGAGCTCACAAGGCTCACTTAAAAGTAGTATATTAAAAAAGTTCAATGAGCTAGTCTATAGTTTCGAAAGAACTAGTTCATTTGGTAACAACTCTTGCTGCGATCAAGTGTGTATCCGTCACTAGTCTTATGGCAGTGCGAGTAAGGAGACGACAACAGGCAAGACAAGACAAACAGTTAAGCAGCTTAACAGCTGTTAAGTAACAGCTCGACGACAGACGACAGATGTTAACTAACAGCTGCTCAGGCTGCTCACAGTTGAACTTACATGGCGCTCTTCGGTGACAACAATTAGATGATTATCTTTGAGCGTCATCTTTGTGACGGAACCGCTGAACGCGAAGGCGGCGCCAGAGATTGTGGGCGTGGTAGCGCCCGTAGATGGGGGCGTCAAAATATCGGGGCTCGTCTCAAATTGAAACTCAATGCACTGCACCCCGCTGGCCAGCGCCAGGGACATGGAACGAATGAGTGATGCATTCGGCCTGAGATTCAGTTCCGGACTCGAATTTCGAGTTGCGGCAGCTGCCGCCTGTTGATTGCTCAGCTGGGATGGCGACGAGAAGGTGGCGACTGACGAGGACGACGACAACGACTGCAAAGTAACAGATTGCACAGGGTTTTTATTTCTTTAGGTGCACGCTCCCACACACACACACGCCCACACACACGCCCACACACACACACGAAGCAACTGAGCAGAATGCAGAAACTTGAATTAGTTTTACGAGTTGCCGCAACTATTTGAATGCATTTCAATTACGTTCTGGAAATGTTCACAAATTTACGCAACATTTTTGCCATTGTTTAAAGGTTTGCAGCAAATGGGCGGTGGGCGTGGCGCTGCCACCCCGCCTGGCAAGCAGCAAAAAGTTGCCAACACTTGACGCCATTTGCCTCCGAATTTCAAATTTGAAGTTTTTCGTCGCGTTTCTTCTTTCTTCTACCACTTCATCATTTGCTCGCTGTTGTGCCTTCATCATCATCTTCATCATCGTCATCATCATCGTCATCGTCATCATCGTGAACTATATGTTGTTGTGCTGCCTTCATCATCATCAACAGCAGCTAGTTGGGCACTTACCTCATGCTTTGAGTCCTGGCCGTGGCCCTGCTCGCTGTCATCGCCAGCGGCACTCGAATTCGCATTTTTGTTCAGCAAATAACTGCGAAGAGAAAAGACAACACAGAGAACGCCAGGAAGAGAGAAAGAGAGAGAGAAAGTTAATATGAGTAAGAGCTAAAGATAAGTAAGTAAAATCCTATGCATATAGCATTTGCAGTCGGGTGGCACAACAAAATTTGTTGCCTACTTTGTGGGGCAATCATAAATGTTTGCCTTAGTGCTGCCAATTTGCTTTAGCAGCCAGAGCGGCAGTGCTGCCCAGCTGTATTTATTTTGCCTTTCAGATAGAGATGCCACACTAAGACGCGCAGCTCGTTTGTTGCTTATAAATATTATAAAATAGGTAATTTTTACAGTTGTAAATGAGACCAGTAATTTATAAAAGATTGAAGCTAGGTAAATCAGTAAATCAGTGCAGAGGCAGCCTAACTGTCACCTTTCAGTGCTGCACCTCAGCTCTACTTCTATTCTCGTTACTTGAGCTATAGAGACTATTGTGGCCCATAGTAGAGCGAGGGAAGAGATTATGATCGCATACAATAAGAACAATCACGTGGACTACAGAGTGCAGCTCATCTAATATGAAACATTTACAAGAAGTAAAGAAGAAACATGAAAGAGAGATTAATGCTCGAAAAGCTGCCACTCAGGAAACCTTTCAGTCCAGATTACCATGTGCACAAAAAAGAAAAACGAAAAGCCAAGGATGCAAAAAAGGACTGCCCATTCGCTGTAAAAAGCTACGATGCAACACTCAGCTCAAGCTGCTTGCGTTAAGAAATGCGTAGGGATTTGTAAATCGATTGTATGCAAACTATTTGAAGCTTCCTAATTTACAGCAGTTTATTGCTATCCACAACATCTACGATATCCCACTTAAGTGCTGCCCATCTGCCCTAGAAGTGCTGACAGCCAACACAGAGAGCTTAAGGTAGCAGACGCAGGAAAAGAACGAGCTTATGACACTCTTTAGAGCTAAGTGCTTTGGCAAATGCATGAAAAACAAGCGCCACTGAAGGTGTGTTGCATATGAGTAATAGCAAATGTTGTTTACATCCCTAATCTGCGTCCCCGAACCCGCTATACCCCTACCTTACCCCTGCTTAGGCTACCCCCTGCTCAGGCATCCTTCAACCCTTGGCATACTTGAGAGACCTTCGCATTTTACTCTCGTTTTTAGTGCGTTTTTTTTTTCTTTCATTTTTTTTCTTCGCAAACATTTGTACAAATTGTCGCACACACACACACGCACACACGCACGCACGGACGCACGCACGCACGCACACTCACGCACAACTAATTTCTCGTCTCGACAGTTTATTGTGCAATTTCCTTTCTCAACCAAACACATGCGTACCTCAGCTCCCGGGTCCTAGTGTGTGACCACAGTTGGAAACTTGAAAAAATATGCGGACCTCATTCGCCCTTGCTCGACTAGCAGATACCCTGCCCTGTTCTACCCTTTTTGTTTTAGCTTTCTTCTTAAATGTTAGCTTGAACTTATGTCAGCTGTTTTGTGCAAAACAAAAATATAAAGGCATAAGCGACAGAGCCAAGATGACGGTGCAAGTCTCACGTCCAAGATTGATCTATGAGCTGCTTTCAGGTGGCTAATCCAACCTATATACCCTGCCTGCACCATCATATTCAATGTGTTCAAGGCATAAAAAGGCAGGCGAAAATTTATTTCCGCTGCGCATTTGTCGACTTTCATCTCGTATGGCACCTTTTTGTGGAAACTGGCAACTGGCAACTGGCAACTGGTTTGCGGTTGCCATTTTGACGTTTTATGCGTTTGCTTTGGGGCTTGCAACAAGGCGACGAAGGCGGCGACGGCGGCGGCGCCTCTCGCCTTGTTAGCTTCAATGCCACTTGCCATCTTCATCATCTTCACTTGTCTCTATTGCCCTCTCACTCAGTCGCAGCCCATCCTTGTTGGGCTGTGGGCTGCTTCCGCTTCCGGCGCTGTCTGTCGACGCGCCCGCCGTTGATTTGTGGCGCCTTTAGATTTTCGGGGCAGCTTTCATCTTAACGCCCTGCCCATGCCGCCCTTCACTCAGTTCCTGTTCCTGTTACTGTTACTGTTTCAGCTTCTGCTTCTGCTTCTGTTTCTCTTCCTTTTGCCTTGCATGGCCTTCATTTTGTTTGGCATTTAGTGCCCGCATATAAAAAGCAACGGCAACAAATTCCCATTTACGTGGCAAGCTCGAGATTTATGTGTATCGCAGGAGGCTGTGCGCGGCTGGGTGGCAGCAGCAACTGCGGGGGCAGTAGAAGCAGAGGCAGGTCTCGCTTGAAAGGATGTTGCGTGCTGACATTGCGTCACACCCAAGTTCTGGCTAAGTCACAGATTTGCTGCGAGAAATAAAATGCCAGAATGAAGCTGATAAATGCGATTTGCCACGCCTACCCAGCCGAGTCGTCTCCCATGTGTATTATGCTTATTTCTATGGTGACTGCGCCAGCGTGTGTGTGGGTGCAAGACATGTGGGTATTAGTCAAGCCAAGCTGCTGTTGCTGCTGCTACCAGGTAACCCTTTTGGCGCTTTGAAAGCAACTGCAGCTGGCTTGCCTTCAGCCTTGCCTCCTGCTGTCCGCCTTCCTCCTTTTTTGTAAAATAAACAGTGCTTTGGCTTAGGAGCTGGTTTCATCTTGCTTTACGTTGTCTTTGCTGCGCGTGCTTACTGCAGCAATTGCCACCATTTGGCTCTCAATATCTGCCCCGCCAGCCCCGTCTGCCTGTCAGTGCTTTCAGCTTCATTGAGCATTCGCAATTATTTTCGAGTTTCATGCACATTGCAGCTGAGCAATGCCTGAGCATGCCGAGGGATCCCTCGAAAAGCTAATCCGTCTGACATTGCTTGGCATTGCCATAAAGAGTTCTTACATGCGGCAGCAGCTGAAGCTGAAATGCCCAAAGTACTTTGCCCCTAAGCTGAGCCATAGAGCTCACATATCAGAACGCACAAAGGAATCATTCACTTACCGAACGGCGCAATACATGGACGTCAGTAGTCCGGCGGGCAGAACGACTATGATGAGACCCATCGAAACGGCAAAGAGATTTAAGAAGCCTGTAAAGATGTAAAGTAAAGAAGAAGTTGAGTTAGATAGCCGTGGCAGCAGCTACATCAGATTCTGCTCACCATCGTAGTTGGCCAGAGGATCCTCGGATAGGGCCGTGGCATTGCCCATGCGCTCGCCATGCAGCAGTGGTGCCATGGCAGATGCACCACCAGACTTTGTGCCCTTGATGCTCTCATTGTGCTGCTGTAGCGTGGCATTGAGGAGTTCTGCAATGGGCAGTTCCTCGCGATGCAAATGACTGAAGCCATGATTCAGCGACTGATGGCTGAGTCCGTGTTGCGCCTGCTCTGCATCCTGCTGCTGTAGTCGATGCGTCGGACTCTCAAATGGATAGGAACCCTCGACGCCATCGAAGCCGCCGCCAGCGCCATCATCAATCAGATCGCCGCCATACTGAATGGAGCTCTCAATGATGTCCGGATCATTGGACAGACCCAGGCCGTTGCTCTCAATGTCGTTCTCATAGATGCTGCGACCCTGGCCGATCAGCTCGCCTGGCATATAGTCGATTTCCTTTAGCTCTATCTGCGGCGGCAGCTCCCCAATAACAGGCACTCCAATTGCCAGATCAGGCAGCACCGCTGGTTGTATGATTATGTCCGGCTGCTGGGAGCTTAGGGGGACTTGTGGTGGCACCGATTGCTGCTCCACTTCAATCACCGATTCACCTACATAGGTCACATCGAGCGGTGGTGCGCCATCCGAACTAGAGCTGGGACTGCGCAAGATCTTCAGCGCATCGGCCGTGTGATGCTGCGGCGAGAGTATGATGTCCTCCTCATAGCGGGCTGTAGCTGCTGAGAGGGTCTGCGATTGCGACTGATCCTGCCTGTAGCTGGCGGGAAAGAATTGATTCTCAAACTGAAGCTTGCGCTGCTGTTGCTCGCTGTTAGAGCTGGCTGTGGGCAGGGACTCGCCCACCTTGACCTCCGTATTCGATATATAGAAGATGGTATCGGAGTCGCGATCGATGCTCGGCTTGCGTGGCAGCGGCGGTGGCGGTGGCGGTGGTGGTGGCCTTGGCAAGCCACCGCGATCGACACCCTTCGTATCCGCCATGAACAGCTCGTCGGCGGCATCCTGTGGCGGACGCACAGCCGGCGGTGGGGCATCCGAGTGATACGGATAGCTGAGCATCGAGCTGAGATTCAAGTGCTCTGCGCTAGCGCTGGAAATGTTCTCGGTGCTGTTGTCAATGATCTCCACAACGAGTATCTCATCGTTGGGCTTGTTGCCCTTCACGTCGCTGATCGCTGGCTGCCGATAGGAGAACTCCAGGTCTTCGCTCTCATTGCCGAAGGCCTCCGACACGTTGATGTGGATCTCAATAGCCGCTGGCTCGGGTCTGCCCACCCCGGCACCCACGCCAGCGCCACCGCCCATGCCAGCTGCAGGTTGGGTGGAGACATCGGCGCGATCGATTACGTATTGGGTAAAGCGTTCCTGAGTCATGGGCGAGCTGGGCGGTTTGGTGGTGCCCACCGCTGGTTCCTGTGGCAGCGGATAGTAGCCCTGCGTGTCACGGAAATTCGTGGAGGCCACTATCGAATCGACTGTCGAGTCATAGACCTCGATTTGTATATCGGATATTTTGGATTCGGTGCGCGGTGGTGCCGCCAGCACCGCTGGGCCTGCCACGGTAATCTCAGCCGCTGCCATGGGCAGTCGGGTGGTGCTGCTCTGCAGTTCGGGCACCTGAAAGACTGTTGTTGACAACACAGACTGCGTGTGTGGTGCAGCCGGCTGGGTGGTTGTGGTGGTGGTTGCCGGTCGCTGCGAAGTGCTCTCCACATTCGGTTCGAGCAGAGCTGTTGGTGCCAGAATCTCCACGATGCGTCCCTCACGCAGCTGCTGCTCAATGGTCTCGTCATGTCCCAGCCGCTGTGGCTGCTCCTGGTGGTTGGGCGCCAGTGGTTTCTTTAATGGATGAACCACACTAAACGTTTTCTCGCCCATAAAAATGGGTCCCAAATAGCCATTCGGTACGGGCAGCAGCTCAGGCTCTGTGCTGCTGCCTAGAGTGGTGGTGGGGGTGGTGGTGCTGCTCGTGGTACTGGTAGTGCTGGTGGTGTCTATTTCCATATTCTTGGTGGTTGTTGCTGCCGTTGCAAAGTGTTGCTGTTGCAGCTGCTTCTTCTTGGTCAGCTTGAGTCCATCGTGTCCACTGCCAATTGGTGGTGCAGCCGTCATTTCCAAGTCCAGCAGCCGCACCACCGCATCCACCGACTGTGTCGGCTGGTGAGTGCTCAAAGTGTTGCTGTTAGCAATATTTGCTAATGTTGTTGCTGCTGCTGCTGCTGTTGTTGTTGTGGTTGGCGCTGCTGTGGTTATTGACTGGCTGTTTGCATTAGCAACTGTTGCTGCTGTGCTGGTAATTGTTGCTGCTGTTGCAGTCCTTGCTGTTGTATTGCTGCTGTGCTGATGCAGCTGTTGCTCATGCTTTGTAGTTGCAATCAGTGTGGGCGTATCGCCCGCAACACCAAATTGCAAACGTTGTGTTGCTGCTGCACTCGCTGTAGCGGCAATTGATGCCGCTCGCGTTTGGCCATTGCTGCTGTCGCCGACCAGCAGCAATATAAACCACAGGACAATGGCAGCCTGGCCACGCCCACAACAGCTACGTGTAGCAACTGCCATGTTGCGGTTGCTGCTGCTGTTGCTGTTGTTGCTGTTGTTGCTGCTGTTGCTGTTGTTGCTGTTGCTGCTGCTGCTGCTGTTATTTTGATTATGCTTCGTCCTTTGCTTGTGCTCTCTTGTTTTCTTATGTAAATTTAGTTTTGATTTCGCTGCTACTGTTGCGGCTGCAACTGTTGCTGCTGTTGCTGTTGCCTTTGGCACTTAATTTCCCCCTTTACTATTGCTGTTGCTGTTGGCACTTGGCATTGTCATGTTGCACTTCAGGCTGCTCGGCATCTTCGTCTTCGTCTTCATCAACATCTTCAGCAATCCGCGCAGCCGTCGCAGCTGTCGCCGCTTTCATTCATTCGCTCAATATGCTGTTGCAGTTGCTCAGGCTTGAGTGGTTGCTGTGGCTGTGAGTGTTGTTGCTGCTGTCGCTGTTGTTGCTGCTGCTGCTGTAGCTGCTGCGGCCATTTTCTGCGGCTGCAGCGCCGCGGCTTTACTTTGGACTCTGCTACAACTGCTGCGGTTGCTGTTGTTGCTGTTGCTATCGCTGCTGCTGCTGCTGCTGCTGCTGCTGCTGCTGCTGCTGCCGGCGGGCGTCGTTCTCTTTGTTGGCACACAAATTTCAAGATACAAATAAAATATATATATAAGGAAATAAAGGCATAAAATAAAAAATGGTCTGCTGCTTTTAGCACTTAACGCGGCGCGTTTCGCCTGCTGCTTCGTATTTTGCTTTCTCCTTTTTCCTTTTTTTTTTCGTTTCTCTTTTTTGCTTTTTTATTTTATTTTCTCTGTTCTCGCCTTTGCCTCTGCGCTTCGCTTCGAATGAGTTCTGCTTGAGTGGAAATGAAATTTAAAATAACGAAATATGCTGCAACAACTAGAGAGTTGCTGCTGCTGCTGCTGCTGTTGCAGTTGCGGGCAATGCAATAAAAAGTAATGCAACGACGCGCCAAAGTATGCTATGAAAAGAAGACCAAGACGAAGACGAAGAAAAGTCGAGTGCAGAGCACAAAGCGAAGTTAAAATAACGACCATAAATAAAGCCTGTAAATTGAGTTGCAAGCTCCACAAAACCTTTTCGCTCCCATTTCGCCAACGAATGTGTTTCCACTCATGAAGTATATCTAATATAGTGTTCTAACAGCATCCACAATCAAGTCATAAGCTGCTCTCGCATCAATTTAGTTTCTCTTCAAGGTATCTGCATCATCTGTCTGCTGTCAGAATCTCGTCTTAAGACTTCATATTTTTTTCATACAAATATATATATATATATATATATATATATATATATATATATATATATATTTTAAGAAATTACTTAAATTTATTATTTTATGTATTTTTATTTTTATTATTTTATTTTTTTACTTAATTTTTGTATTATTTTATTTATTCAATTACTTTAAATGTATTTAAAAAAAAAGCTATTTTATTTAATATTTATTAATCTTTGTAATATATTTTTTAATATTTTTTATTATCATTCTATTAATTTTATTATGTATTTTACTTTTATTAATTTATTCTTTGAATATATTTATTAATTTATTATTATATTATTTAGTTTTATATTCTTCATTCTTCACCCAAAATTTGAGTTTCATAATTGACTCGTGGCAAACGTAAAACGGAATGCCCCTATTAAAATAACGGTTTGACCGTTTAAGACCTAAATGGACACTAAATACTGAAATGCCCATTCAGATTTTAACGCTTAAGCCTCGAAAGGACGACAATTCTTGATTGAAGCGAAAGAGTGCACTGAATAGAACTTGAGGACTTCTGATTGAAAGCCCGTGAAAATGTGAGCGAAAATAAAGATTAGTTGCCATAGCAATTACACGAAAGTTTGTTTGCTCTAAAGCTGCTTTTTGATGCTCCACACAATGCGAGTGGCAGCCAGCATAAAGATAATAAAAGGCGAGAAATGGCTGGCACTTGAGCAAACAAGTTTTCAAATTAAAAAATTTATTTTATAAATATTTCCATGAAATAGAAAATATCTCAAGTGTGGCCTGAAAGTCCGAAAGTCGTTAACTGTTGCTTGCCTTTCATCGCAGAGGCTCAGCCCAGATGAGTCTTTGAAAAACAAATGGTAAATCAAACGGAAACTTCTATAAAATATACGAAATAAAATGCATTTTTTTATTAGCCAAATGAAACGCAAACTAAAGTCAAGCTGAGTTCTGAGCTGGCAATAAGGAGCTGATGAGAATTTTTGATTTATGTGCCGTTAGGCCTGAAGCGATAATGTTTAATGCCGCAACAAAGGAAATTCGCATTTTCACAATTTCAGGAAAAATGGATAAAGGAAAGTAGAATATGAAATGCGAGAGGCTCTGAGTGTGTGAAGTTATTTGTTTAGAGCAAAATGACGATGGAGCCAAGGCGAGCGAGGGAGACAGCAAGGCAGAACGGCAGAGCAGCAGAGAGTGGGGAGAGAAATTGAAAATGAAAACAAAATATGCCATAGAAATACGAATTTTCCAATTTTCCAATTTTCTCGTTTTCGGTCTCGTTCCTGTTGTCGTTTGTGTGGCGCAAGTGGAGCGAGGGAACTTTTTATTGCTTTTTGTCTTTGGTTGTAAACCCGAAAATGCGATGCAAATTAAATATAAAGCCTGCCAAATGATTCGATTTCAAGCTTCAACCCTTGGCCCCGGCCATCAGAGGCAACCTCAAGCAAAAGGTTGCGGTTAGCTCTTTGCTCTGGACCCAAACAGCCGCCCCATCATCACGCTGCCTGTTGGGCGAAAAACAATGTTGGGGTCAGCATTGGCAGCCTAAGCAAATGCCAGCCAGCTGCCCAACGCTATGCACTTTGTCCATTTACAAAACCGCAAAATCAACTGCAAAGCGACAACAACGACGAGAGCAACAACAGCAGCAACGAAAATGTTCTTTAAATGTTCATTTGATAAGAAGGTGAAGATGAAGTCTGTTTTACTTACCGGCAAGAGATGCTGCTGCGCCTTCTTCTTCTTCTACTTCTATTTTCGCTTTTGGGCCCCGCAAGGTAATCCAAGGGTCCTTGCGCAGCCTTCGAGTCTCGCTTGCGTGCCAACCACAATCACACACTCAGTTCACAATAGTTTTGCTTAGCACTGGAACAAAAATAAGTAATTGCTGGTGTGAAAACTGACTCAGACTTGGCTTTTGGCCAGCTGCAACACGCGACACGCCCGGCAAGACAAGCACGCGCCAACGCCAACTATTGTTGGTGCTGCAGCAGCAGCAGCAACTGCCGCAACAGCAACAACAAAGCACAAAACGCGCGCGCAAAATAACAAATTTATTTAAAAAAATAAATAAAATAAACTTTTGTAAGTTTTTCAAATATTTTTGAATTTGAAATTTTTTTCAAGCTTTCAACTGCATCTCAAATGCTTTCAATATTTTTCAAAAATATTTAAAATATTTTCTCAATTCTTTGAACCTTTTCTTAACAAATGTTTTCTTAGCTCAAATTTAATAAAGTTTTTTTTAAACTTTTTCTCAAATAAGTCAAAATATTAAATTAGTTCAATATATTTTGAAATATTTAAAACTTTCTTAATTTAATTAAAGTCTTCACAAGAATTTTTTTCGAAAATTGTTTTCAATCTATTTTAAACGTTTCAAATTGTTTGCAGAATTTATCAAAACTTTCTTTTGGCTTCTCAAAATATTTTTTCAATTTTTTTAATTAATTAAAGTTCTCAAACTGTTAATTAAATTTTTTATACGTTGGACATTTCAAAAAGTTTTTCATATTTATTTTTGCGGCTTTATTTTGTTTGCTTGTTGTTAAAACAGAGAAGAAAAAAAACAAAAAATAATAATAGGAGGAGTGGAACGGGTTAAGGTGGGGTAGGTAAGTGCGGGTTGGTGGTGCTGTGGTTGAGGAGTTTTATCTCACGGCTGTTGTTTTTTTGTTTTTTGAATGATTTGTTGGCGCTTGGCTTATCCGTTGGCGTTGCCGCTGCTGCGTCCTTTAGCTCCGAAAACCGCACGCAAACTGCGCAAATCGCATCGCATCCTTTGGTCTAAAAGGACGACTGGACGAGCGATTCGCCGCCTTCGCCGATTCACAGCTGTTGACGGCGACGTTCGACGTCGGCAGCGAAGCATCGTTTGGCAGCTGCGCACGCGCTGCCGGGTTGCTGTCTTCGCTAAGCGCAGTGTGGCCAGACTCTAGACATTGCCTGCAATTGAAGATGCTATATCAAACTCAAATTTCCTTACGAAAAAATGGGAAATTGCCTAACAAAAACAATGCGTTTGGTTTTATTTAATTTTTGATTTTTTTAAAACTAACTTAAATTTGTTGCTTTATTTGAAATTCTAATCAGTCTGGCAACACTCTACTTTTTGGCTTGTGCCAAGCTCAATTCACTTCCAGTCTACACATTACACTTGCTGTAGAGTTTCGTAAGCTGGTAGCGTGGTGAAAAGCTAGCGACAAATTAAGCTCAGCTTTGGTTGTGTCTTCGCTAAAGTAAATCTTTCCGTATGAAAGCTGTGCATGCTTAAGCTTTAAGCCTAAAAGGCGGCACTAAGACAATATGTGTAATTTACTTAGGCAAAGCTTTTAACCATATCAGATTGAAAGCAGTTGAGTTGAAAGGTGGATTAGATCATGATTCGAGTAATTATTAGAGACCTACATATTTATGTATTTATTATTTATATTTTATTTATTTTTTGGTGTATGTGCTCCTCTCTACACGCTATACGTCTGCTGGCTTTATCTCTCTCTCTCTCTCTCTAGTCCCTCTCAACATATCAAACTTTCGCTCTTTCTCTCTCACTCCATATTTCCTTCAGTATATATAGCTGTCTCTATACTTCTGTAGTTCCCTCTCTCTCTTGCTGTGTGACTAATTTTTTCTCTTTCTCTTTCGCTCTCTCTCTCTCTATCTCTCACTCATTCACTCTCTCTCTCTCTCTCTCTTTCTCTCTCTACCTCTGTTTCTTTCTACCTTTTAGCATTCGTAATCATAGATTTCTGTTATTCAACATCATTCAGCAGTCGAATGGAATCTCTTTATATTGGCAAAATTCCGCATGGATTCCCGTTGTCTGGCGCGAAGCCTGTCGCTTCTACCTGTTACAGGTATACTCAATTCTCCCTCGCTCTCTCGCAGTCTTTGTAGCTGTCATTCATTCTGTTGTTGATCCGCTTGATCCATTTGATAATGCAGCCCGCACGATAATTCCCATAAATAATTCGCGTTTGGATTATGTAAACCTCTTTCGGGCCGCTCTTTTGCGTAGCGCTGAGCGTGGTTGTTGCTTTTGTCGTTGCTGTTGTTGTCTACGCTGTGGAATTCGAGGCAGCCGCCAGAGGCGACACTCCCAACACGAGCAACATCGACATCAACTGTCGAGCGCCGGTGGCAACGTCTCCATCTCCAGAAACCACACCGCACCACCGACTAATGCTTCTTCTTCTTCTTCTTGTCTGTCAACTATTGTGTGCGTGTGTGGTTGACAGCCTTTGCTTCAGCAATTTGGCATATGCTTGGCAACGCATTGGCTTGGCACCACCTCCACACCACCTGCGCAGCGCTGTGCATATGGCTGCCCGCTTAATTGACTTTTTACACAATATATATATATATATTATTTATAATGGATGGAGTATGACCTCAAGGCACTTCCATTGGATTCATTTTATATCATTTCATATTTTTTATTATTTGAATTTTTTAGTTTCAGTTTTAGTTTTTTCTTTTTTGGCGCAACGCTTTCTTCTGCAGCTGCCGTTAGACCTGGTCGAGGCCGCTCGCATTTATGGAGCGTAATGACCAGTAAACAGAGAAGCCGTTAAAATGCCAGCCAAACACTTGCACACATGCAAAGCATTCCGATTGGAGTCAACGTTTGCTTCGTAGAGGAAAATTCAGTTCAGCTGAAGCTAAGACAAGTCCTAAAGGCTGAGAGTCTACAACTAATAGCTAAGTCCATCCTATTTTTTAACTAAGATGCCTCTGGATTACTTCTCTCTCTCTCCCTTTGTATCTCTCTTTCTTTCTAAAGACTAAAACTAAGACTAACAGCTATGGCAACCGCAGGCCTCCGACCTAGATAAAGGCAATTTAGGGCCACAACTAAAGGTCTTTCTCTGACATAGCCAAAGAGCGCATCTTCTGTAGAAGACAAAGACAAAGACAAAGACTAAGGCAAAGAGAGAGAACTTTGATTAATGCCAAAAGTGGAGCTCACAGAGAAGATCAAGCAGGAGCTGAGTTTAAGAACTAAGAGAGGTTGTGGTGGTGGCTAAGACAGAAGCTTAGGCGCAGCATAAGAAGGAAACTAAAGCGTGGGCAAAGACCAGAGACAGAGGCTAAGACTGAGACTAAGATGAAAACTAATGTGAAGTCTTAGCTGAGGCAGAGGCTGTTGTAATGACTAAGGAGGAGACTATTTTAGAAGCTAATGCATAAGCGTAGCCCCAGGCTAAGGCGGCGCATAAGCCTAGTGGTTTAAGCTGAGGCCAGTAACCGTTCCAAGCCAAGCTGGAGACTCAAGTGTAGTATAAGGCTAAGCCGGAGAGCTAATTGCCCAGCAAAGGCAAACAGGGAGGCGGCGCAGTAGCCAAGAGGCTGAAGCTATGACCAGAGGCTGCGGCTGACGTTAAGACCAAAAGCCAGTGGCTGAGCCATTGACAGCGGCAGCTGACACAGAGACTTAGGCTAGCTGCTCTCATTGTGTGCCGCATAGCCAGAGGCGCCATCGATCACACACCACTGGCCAGCGCACCACCAAGCGAGCACTTTGCTGCGTAACGGCTCATTTTAATGTGAGCCGCACACTTGACGCACAGCTTGGCCGAGCTCCAACTCTCCATAGCTGTTTCAGTTTCCCCTGGCTGCAGCCACTCCTCAGGCATTTGCCACGCTTTGGCATGCATCGCTGAGAGGAGCCAATTGGTTGGGGCGACGCGTTGACAACTGGCGTCGATTTATGCGCCAAGCTTTTCCACGAGTTTTCCCGCTGCGCGTGCCTGCCATGCCAAATGCCATGCTGTAAATTCTCTCTTCATTTGCCATTTGCCATTTGCCGATCGTCGATCGGCGATCGCCAATCGAAACCGAAACGGTAAACGCGGCCCGCAGTCGCCGTCCAACGACTCCGACATCGACAGGCCAGTCAAAGTCCAACTGGGATGCCGTTGTCAAGGCTCATCCATCAGCATTTGCTTGGGCAACAGCCGCAGCTCCACAGCTGCTAGCTCTATGCCAAGCCAACTTTGAGGCCAGAACGCAGCCCAGTTGACCAATCATCCAGTTCGGCAGCTCGACTAGGTCAAGCAACTGCCTAAACGGCTGCTGCAGCAAGTTCCACTTGGAATGCACCTAGTGGCAGTGCCAGTGGAAACCTTTCCGAATATGCCCCAAAGAACAATAGCAAAAAAAATTCAGTAAGGCACAAAGCGCGAAATGTGTAAGGAACTAAAAGAACTTATCTATAGATTAAAGAGAGCAACTTCATTCCATTCTTGGCCAGCCTGAACAGGCGAGTCCTTTTATAAGCTTTATATGTCCTACGTAAGCTTAAATACTCTGTGAAAACTTTTATTTTGAATCCATCTTTTGTTTCACATTCTTTCTCTCTTTCCTTTTCACGTCAACTCTGCACTTATCTTCTGTATTTTTGCTCTGCAGTATTTTTTTTACTTTTGAAAATGTCTCTAATTGAAGTATATATGCAATATATTTCCGGTTACAGATATATTTCAGTTTCTTGTCTCACTTTATGCCTTTACAACTTTGCTTCTCTCTTTCTTTCTTTGTCTCTCTTGCAATATCCCTTTGTCAATCTCTAAGTCTCTCTGTATTGCTTTATCTCTTTCTCTTTCTATTTCTAACGCTCTTTCCCTTTCTCTCTCACTCTCCCTCTCTTACCTTGTTTATTATTACCTCCCTGTCTATCTCTTATTCAGCCCCTCTCTGAAAGTCAACCTCTTTCTTCGCCTCTTTTCTCTCTTACTGACCTTTATCGCTTTTCATTATCTTCATCTCTCTCACTCTCACTCTCACTCTTTTTCTCTCTAACACACACTCTGTTCCTTGCACTCTTTTATACTCCCTATCTCACCATCTTCATCTCTCGCGCCCTCTCGCTAGATCTGACACTTCCTCCCGATATTTCTTTCGATATTATATCTCTCTCTCACTCTTTCTCTCTCTGTTTCTCTCTCACACTCTCTCTCTCTCTTATACATTTGTTGCTCTCTCTCTCTCTCTATGTTCTGCTCACACTTTTTCAGTCTCTCTCTCTATTAAATCTATTTCTCCCTCTCTCTCTCTTTCTTTTCTTTCTCCCCTCTCACTCCCTCCCCCGTCTCCCACACACACTTCAACACATTTTCTATTTAATTATAAGCATTCCATATATATACTAAATGCCTTATACAAATCATATATAATATTCTTCTCGCCCATTTATCACTTTCCTTTTTCAATTACATTTTCACCCGTTTCACGCTCTTCACTCGCCGCTGGACAATTAAAAGTTCCTACTTGGATTTGAATATTTTCCATATATCATATTTCTAACTCATCTGCCATTTCGAGCGCGCACCACTTGCTTGCAGCTGGAGCCAGAGTGGTTTCGATATATGTAAAAATCGGGTTATTTCATCAATTTCCATGCACAACAAGCCTGAAGAAACGTGTGAGAAATGCGATTGGGATCGTTAGCATTTAGTTTTATGGCGCACTTATGCTTACGATGAGATGTGATGAGATGAATTTCTGTGTGCTTGACCGAGGTGGGCTTTGGGCTTTGGCCTCCGGGGGGAGATTTTGGTCAATTTATGGCATATGCGATAAGAAACTTTCGCATTTTTGGGATTTTTTGTCGAAGTGCAACAAGCGAATTGGTTGTTTGTGAGTCTTTGTTGTTGTTGTTGTTGTTGTTGCTGCCGTTGCTGTGGCTCAATAAAGTTTATGACTAAGCTTTGACCACTGCCTCGATGCCGGGGCGGGGAGGCGTGGCGTGTTGAGCTGTTCGCATAGTTGATTGAATCATCGTTTAGCAAGCGGCATCAATTTCACTTTCATTTCGGCTGTTGTCACTTCTTCTTCTTCTTCTTCTTCTTCTTCTTATGCGTTGCTCAATTTCTTTTCATGGACAGCCGCCACGCCCCTTGTTTCACTTTCTTTTGACTCATGCAGCGCCTCTGCTTCATTTGCGTGGGTGACAACATCCGCAGAGATCGAGTGAGCTAGAGT